TCAATCATCCGAAAGAATTCCAGTCGGCAAATTTAAATTTTCGCCAATGCTGTGGTGCTTCAATCTTTGGCTACTCAAATATTTTACGTTTTTGATACTAAATTAACATCTGAAGTATAATTTTTTATTATTTTTATATTTTTCAATATATTTATTTTGTTTGTACAAAATAAAAAAATAATTTTTAATGATACAATAGTCTTTGTTAGGCTTAACATCGACGAAAATTCAACGCAAAGCGACACGCAACGGAGAAAAATTTCGACATCAGATACATTAAACTATTTTTTCGTACGTAAATCAGTTATCCGAAATATCGGTTATCCGGACAACCCCAGTCCCCAATTGATTCAAAAAATCGACGCTCTACTGTATTTTCTTTGGATAAAATCTTTGCTATTCCAGAGAAATAAATGTTTTAAAAAAAAATTATAAATCATCACTACATTATATATAAACTTCAGTAATAGTTTAGTTAATTAACACATGCAATCAAATATTCATGGAAATTTACAAATTCACAGGAATCAATCAACAAACAAAAAAAATTTTTGTTTTTGTATAAAACAAAACAAAAAAAATTTGTTTGTTGATTTCTGTAAATAGTTGATTACATTTATCATTTTTGTAATCTGTTACACTGGAACAATATGACTGTAAATAGATAAAACTTTGGTAAAAGTTACCTTTAGGTAAACTATACATGTAAACATTCATATATGTTGACATAAAAATAACTTCTAATCAAACTTTTATCTTAAATTTGTGTAGTTTATATAATGATTTTCAACAATTTGCCCTTCAAATATGTCCTTAGAATGCCTATTGGAACTGTAAAGACTAACAGCAATACAGCAATAACAGAATAAGTGTATCTATAGCATTTTGTATTGAATATTTTATTATTAAATAAAATGAACACAGTACAGACTCAATAGTTTGAGTTGACTGGAAATGAGACAACCTCAAAGTATACAGAATATATATACAATGGAAAACAATAATAACAATACATCCATTATATTATATAAATATTAAAATAATCACTTTAGTAACAATAATGATAATATGGTGCACTTAAAGCACATGATGTCCTGTACAATACAGAGCAAATGGCAACCATATTATTTTACAAATGCAAGAACCCAAAAGCCAATGTTAGAGCTTTCAGTGTGCTTAAATTTTGGTGTACAGTACTTGTCACACAATTGATTTAAATTACCAAAATATGTAATTTACATGCTCTGGTTGAGTACATATATTTTTGCTTGAGGTGGTAGTGCAGTATTATTACATCTCTAAATGAGACAGTTGGGACCTTATCAGAGCCATAAACCATACCTCACACACAATTCTTGGCTAGATATGACCCATCGAAATTGGCCTATATCAGGGACATACACAATTGGGAGTTACGTCGCTCCACCAAGACTATCACATTTAATTATTTAGCCCATTTGACTACTCTGGCCCAGATTGTTCGTGGAGTACTCGATGTTATAATTGTTAGGCTTAGTGAAGAGAGTGGTGTAACTCCCGATCGAGTTCCCTGGAAACAGCATCAAAAGGTGGCCATCCTCACATTTAGAGAGCTTTCAGCCCTCTCTAGTAGGTTTAAACAGAAATCGTATAAAATTTGGTTTCGGGATTTAGTTCTGAAAATTTTCACTTTTAAATTTTACCCCATTTTTGAGGGTCTCAAAAATCTCACAGAGTGATTTTGGGGGGCTATGTCTCGTGAAGGGTTACACATGAAGATACGGTTTCTTTGACTTTTTTGCTCGTATCCCGCATTGCACAGTTCTCGAACGTCTCATTCGAATCTCGAATTGAGCCCGTGGGGACTTGCACCAAAGTGCACGACTACACGCACGACAACACAAGGCATGGAGAATAGGCAGTATACTGGTACACAGTAAAAACTGACCTGAGGAGGCAATTTTCTCATATAGGTACAGTTCCTTTTATTTTTTCTACTCGTAAAGGAGGTCCACAATTCTGGGGTAGCAAACCATTGAGAACTCACATCTCGAGCTTCGAATGCTCGAATACAGAAGAATCTCGATAGTCCGAATTTCTATACGGAGCCCGGACTATCGAGATTCTACCATATAATGAATAAACCAATTCAATTTATAGCACGTTAATAACAAAATGATTAATACTTGTGTAAATTACTAGTTTACAGCAGAAGAGCTTCTAAACTCATTTTAATTATAAAGTTATTATGGAAATATATGACAAAGAATAGTCTTACTTGCGTTCTCCCGGTCTCTGCTTCCTTTCATTTGTAGAAACCGCAGAATGCACCGTGGGAGGCATGGCGACTCTTTATTGTTTATTATACAACTGTCGATCGAATATTTCGCACGAGAATCTCTTTCGTTACGTATACGAATAACGTCATTCCGCCATCTTTCGTTTACCTCCGAGCATCATACCTCTTTCATCGACTTTTATCGAGTGAATGGCGACTCCTATCGCCCAAAAGTAGCCAAACTGACAATTTAAAAACAATTTTTTTTTCTTATTTTAATAGTTATAAAATGTTATAAATGTATTTTAATTAATTTTTAAAATTTGATTATGATTNTATTCTAAAAGCATTGGCTGTTATAGAGACCAATGCACCTGAGAATGTATAAAAACAATAATATCATTAACAGCAATTATCATTTACTACTTATTTTAGTGTTTTTCAACATTTTTCTAATAGTGCAGGGGTGGCAAACTTTTTTTAGCCCGTATGCCATATAGTAAGCATACTTAGCTTTAAAGATGTTTATGTATGCCAAAGTTTTAGAGTTTGAATAACAATATTTAAAGAAATTAAATAAACATGCTTTAATTAGAATGAATGTAAAGAAACTGATTGAAAAAAAAAGAATGATTAGGTGGTAAACCAAACCAAAAGGATAATTGAAAAATACAGATGATGAATTGAAATTGCATGATATGTTACGTGAGATGATTTCTCATGTGCCACTTTGGGCACATATGCCATAGGTTTGCCACTCCTGTAATAGTGGTACCCCAATTTGGTAATTTTTTTCTTGTGATGCCCCTGCTTCTTTATCAATATAAAGTTGTGTGTATTACTAAAAGTAGAAAAATTACAATAAGTGTTATCATCTTTATTCATGGAAGTATTATGATGTTACTCATCACTATAGTTCCTGGCATCATGATTTAAAATCACTGGCTTGCTCTTTAACTGGTAGGAAAATTATTCCATTTTTGATATCAAGCTCTGTATTAAAGGAATGTCCTTGCAAAAAATGTGCCAACAGCCAGAAGAGGTGAAAATGTGATGAAGAAAGGTCAAGAGTGTGTTAGGCAAGTCAAAACTTTGATCCCCTCCAACTCTTCTAACTTTTCTTGAAAAACAATGTACCAAAGTGCTACTGTGCTACAGCAGTGTACTCTTTTGATTAAGCAATGCTGAATAGTCAGTGCATAGGACTTCAAACACTTGTTCCAGTTGCTCAGCATAGAGGTTCCTGTCTGTGGCCCTGGCCAGTAGGAACCAACTCCCGATGCATCGGTCCATCCAAATTCCACCAAATGCACATTATAACTTTTCATTTGAACTATCCTTATTGAACCATTTGTACTGGCCCATCACCCGATCAGCAGGCCAAAAAGTACCATGTCTAGTTGCTGTTATGCTCACTTGTGTCTTTTTCTGTCATAATTGTTCTGTTTTATGTCCTACAGTTCTGTATAAGTTTATTGTCTTCAGATATACCACTGTAGATGAATTTGTTCATTATCATCTAGTACATTCTGTAGAGCTTGGTCATCTGAAGATATCTGTTGTCGAAGGTAGCATTCTCTGGCCATTTTGTACAGAGCCATTTTGGCCATTAGTAATATATGTTGGATTGTAAGTGGAGTGTGGCAAGTTGAGCATATGAGTTGGGTATCCCTTGTTATTAGATAGTTATGTACTAGTCATGTGTGTCCAGTTCTTAGTCAGGCAAGTACTATTTCATCTTATCCAGTTTTTCCATTGGCTAGTTCCATTGTCCATTTTATTAACTCTGGTTTTATGGTGTATAGTTTTGCAGAATTGTCTCTGACATTTTGTATTTCTTAGTCTGATGATTGGCTCCTGCCTGTAGTTATTGTGAAGTTAGCAAGCTTGGTAAATTTGTGCCAACAGGTCTTTGGATTATCCACCCGGGAGCTATGTTTTCTATGGTTAATTCTTTATATGGCAGATGATTATAGGAAAGTGGTCATTGCCTCTGAGATTTGGAAGGACAATTTGCAAACATCTCTGGTGTGCTAATAGTGAGGTTGATAGCCAAATAGGTGTGTTTGGATAGTGAAAATGATTAGTGATGCCTGTGTTGTTCAGTGTGTGTGTCCAGAAGCATTTTGATAATTTATTCTCTGTAGTTTTTATCCAAGCTTCAACTGTGTTAAAGTCTCCCAACAATATAAATGGTTTTGGGAGTTGATTTATTAGTTATTTTAAGTTGGTTTGTTCTACTGTATCCCCTGGAAGGAGATAGATATTACTCATTGTTATTAGTCCCTGATGAATTTGGACTGCCACAGCCTGAAGCAATGTAAACAGAGAAATTTCTGTCAGGCATTTTGTGTGAAACCAGAATTGCTACCTTGTAACAAGCATTTTATGTGGCATGAAAATCCTTGCGGAGGACACTGTAGTGTTTAAATTTAAGGATGTCAATTGGTTCAGCCTTTGTTTCTTGTAGGCACATATAGACTGAACCATAAGTCTGTATTAAGACCTTCAGTTCATCAGTTTTATATCATATCTCTTGACAATTTCATTAGGGTATTACCATGAGCATATTCAGAGCAGTGAAGTGAGTTGTAAAGATACCGTTCCTTGCTGGGTAGATTTATTTAGTGTTTTTGTCTCTTTGAGACATATTTTATGCCGTTTTGCGATTGTTGTTTATTTGCTGTTCTGGTTAGGAGTTTTGTTTTTCAATTTTAGAGAAGTTGGGTGGAATGGTAAAACAGACTTTTTTGTTCAGTGTTTTCAGTTTTGTTGCTGGGACAAGTCAATTTTGTTATCTATAAAGTGGATGTGATTTTTGTTGGTTCCTCTGTAAGGTTTCGGTATATTTCACTAGAGATATGCTAATTTCTGTTTAAACTTCTGTGAAATTTTTTGCACAAGTTTATTGGCATATATGGGTTTAGTAGGATATATATGCATATATCTCCACTTTACTTCTACATAAGTAGTTTGTTCTATCACTCATATGTGCTGGATTTCTTTTCTGCTGTCTATTTTGGGCACCTTGTGGTATGATTTCCCCACAATTTACACAAAATGATGGGTTTGAACAGCTACTTTCATATGTTAAAAACACTAAACCTATAAACCAGTACATTTTTATAACAAGTGCAAATGTGTTTGCCCTTGTTGAACAGGCATCATCAAGCAAAACATGGGTGAAAACATTTGCATTTGTTATAAAAATTTGCTGGTTTATAGGTTTAGTGTTTTTAATTCTAATTTAACTAGTTTTAAATGGCAGTTTTCTTCTACTTTCATGTGGTTGTTCCCCAGTTTGGATGTCTTGTTTTCTTCTGACAGTTGTATTTGGTGTGTTCAGATGCCTGGCAGTTATAACATCTGAACAGGTTTGGATACATGGCCAAACTCTACAATTTAGGTATGCTTTTTGATATCCACAAGAAGGTTAGAGTTATAACAACAGGTTGCACTAAAGAAGAATTGCTAAATGTGGTGATTCAAAATACAGTATAAATAAATTATATTACAAATACTTGCTTTGTTAATTTAATCATTGCAATTCTAGATAATTGAAATTTGGCATATTATAGAATATTGCATCAAAAAGTTTTTGGTTTACAAATCATGAAAGAAGCAAGAGAAAAATTAGGAGTGTTGAAGGTTATTATTAAATGCCATGTAGGAAATCACTTCCCCATTTCATGTTTGGTTAATTCTTCTGACCACAAATTCCCTGGCCTGCCAGGTTGTCTAAAATTCCTCAGTTGGGCACTCAGCTGATATTACTCCTCTGGAGTAATTTAGATATCCATATGGAATTATTGTAACTGGTATTCCTGCAAAATTGGTTATTTCTTGGAGCTTTTTACTATGTTGACTGTTTTCAGTCTTTATGAATAGATCTCCTGATCAAAGTTTTTGTACCATTCTTGGTGGTCCAGCTATTTGGCTGAGGATTCTATAAATGGTAAAAGATAAAAACCAAGATAGTTTCTTTTCCACATTATATGAATGGATGATCAGGTATTAAGGGCTAATATGTACTGGTTGTTCTGAGACTACTCATGTCGAGGGATGAACGAGAGAAGGTTCTTCACCTTCTTTCCAGACAGAGGGCTTTGGAGAAGTGTCATTTCAGTTTCCATAGGTAATTGATCACAGTTTGCTTGCTTTATTATCCAGGCCCTTCTCAACCCCCAACAAGGGGATGGGGTTCACTGCAAGCAATTACGATGCTGGTTTTCTCACACAGGGCTTTGAAGCAAGTACAGTCCAGTAACAGAGTGGTATCGGGCAGAAGACAATCTCCAGTTCCCAAAGTTTGTAACTGCTGTTTGGAAGTCACAAATGTTGCAGAATTAGGACAGCTCATAAATGACACTTCTGGACAGATAACAGCAGAGCAGCTTATGAGGTTTGAGAAAAAATTTATGGCTCATCTTAAATATTGTCAGATGTCACAATGTGCTTACTTTGAACACTTATTTTCAAGTACATTTTATTTCACCAATTTCATTTTCATTGCATTTGAGAAGAGTTTCCTTTTTCCTTCATTTCAACAAAGTAACATAATAAAATGCAATTATTTTTTGTAAGCCTGGTTTTTTCCATGGCTAGGGACAACATACTTCAAAGACATCTGCTATATTGTTGACAAGAGCTTTTGGCTTTTGGGCACATATGCCATAGGCTTTTGGGCACATATGCATAGGGGGGCTATTATGAATATATATGTATATTCATAATAGGAATATACATATATATTTTCTATGGCATTAATGTACAGTCAAAACTTTTCCATATAATATTTTAAAAATGACAAAAAGTCTTGTATTTCAGGCTTTGCTAGGCAGCATTCTTGCTTTGTCCAGTGTTCCAGTGATGCATTTGTTTCCAAATATCTGGATAGTCAACTTAATATGGTTTACAAAATGAGAAATTTTAATTGTGGTGAGAAAAAAAAACAAACAACAAACTGGAAATCGTATATTTAAAGAAGTAAATACATTTATAGTAAAACTACTCACTTGACTGTAAATGAGTTGCAGGTTTCTGCTAATTAATAAAGATTAATTTCCTTTTTATGCAAATTACTATTGAAACAAAATAATTCTGATTTACAATTTTAATTATGTTTATGTAAATACATATTTGTCATGTTTAAAAAATAGTAATATACAGAACTTGCTAACATATAAATATTTGTTAACATTTTCTTACATACAT